AAACCGAGTAAATCTAAACAAACGAATATCGGTACCGTTGTAGCTGGATCTGTTCAAGCTATCATCGGTGTCCTATATAAAGACAAGGCATGTATTTCCCTCTTCGATACAATGTAGCCTCATCCATAGCAACATCTAAACTTATTGTTTTGAAGGGTCCTCAACACGCAAAAAAATTCATCCACGATCATTTCTTATCCAGAGAAGTTGATATGCAAGACATCATTCAAATTAACGATGTAAAAAGAGAGTTACACGCTTTAATGAGACGGAAAAACAAAGAGCCCCCAATTGCTAGGTATGCTACTTTCATATTGCTTAGTTCCACAGGTAATACTAAACAATAATGCTTTAATAGGCTAAAAGGCGAAAGTGGTGCGCATTCCGGTGTTCCTGTTTTCGTTGTCGGAGTTTATTCGGACGTTGAGCAGTTGGGTGAAGGATTTGGAAGCTCAAAGGCGATGGCTGAATTCAGGGTAGGAAAATTTTGCTTCCTTATTTCTAGTCACGATCAGACTCAAACTCAAGACTCAATTTCAACTGACGTAGGCATTTAAAGATGCTTTGGTGAAATATTACTTGACAGAGGTCAAAGATTTTACATTACCATCCACAATTAATACACCCGAAAAGCAAAATAGTTATGTTCCAACAATAGTCGGAGATACGCCACCAAAACTATAAAATTAAAAATTAGTAAACGTGAAACAAAATCAAAATAAGATTATAAATATACTATAAGTAAAAACTGGTTAATGTTCATTGAACCTATCTAAAAAATTGTTTGTGATATCTCAAATTGTTGATTTTATTCAAAGTTTCCTAATGATGCACTCAATTTACAGGAAAGCAAATATATTATATATAAACATCATTAATAAAAATAGTGTTACCAATTATATATATTTTTTAGAAGCTGGGGTATTGATTGTTGATTACATGATGATGAAACCTTATATTTACATTTAAACGTTAAATTGAAAATTCAAGAAAGTCCATTGTTTTTGATTCCATGCAAATCTTCATCTGCATACAAGACCTGACATTAAATCAATTATATCGCATAATTGTAAGTAGAAATTTTAAGGTCCTGCCTTTCTAATCAATTTATGTTAACGCACGCGACCTTCCCATCTTCCAGCAATCCTTGTCCAATCAAGTATTGTTGCAGACTATCCAACAGTTCAATTTGTTCTTGCGGTTTCAGAGA